CTCAATAGCCGTAACTTTTGGTTGGAACCGATCGGGCAAGGATCTCAAAATTTTTCCCACAACTTTGGATTCTGGTATTTTTTCACCTAAATTGAAACTGGAATTTACAATGTCACTCAACTTCGCATAAAATTCATCAAAGGTCTCACTATCTTTCATTGAAAAGGTTTTCGAAACTAGATGTGAGCCTTTGAAGTTTTGAGCGTTTAACAGAAGGAGTGCCCTCATGAATAGTTTGTAAGATATCTCAACCCTCTTTTGCGACTTCACAATTACAAATATGACTAAATTCTTCAGGTGTGACAGCGCAAAAGAGAGAATTGATAGCTTTACTATTCCAGCTACTATTTTGGTAATCAGTTGTGTCCCACTTATCAATTGGTTTGGGGAAAGTTACTCCATCAATAGTAATTGTTGGTTCGGTCCACCCATTCATGACGGATTGCCAAACTTTTTCAACAATAGATTTTAAAAAAGATCTCATCCGAGCTTTCCAAAAAGAATAATTGGATCCGTCAAGTAGGGGTGGTCGAACCATCGAATTTCCCTCAGGAATTGAATCCATTATCACAAATCAAACAAGATCTCGTTCTAAAAGAATATATATATTTTTTAAAACAAATAGAACGACCTGCTCTGATACCAATTGAAAAATTTAGAAATCCTCTAGATATTGATTTGTGATTATGTAACAATTTTAAGCAGCATATAACAATCCCAATCAAACAATCAAGACAAATCAACACAATTATTTTAACGTGGAAAAACCACAATTGGACACCTCCAACTGTGATCAAAAAACCACGAGCAATAGCCACAAAACAATCTACTAAGAAGATTTAAAGGAATTACACAGGTATACTCTCAATTACCTAGCGAATCCACGCCTAATTGAACCAACCTCTATGTGCCTCTTCTAACCCCGTCTTCACCTCGGAATTGTCTTTACGATGAGCCACTCCAGAATCCACCGAAGTTTCAGGCTCGAATTCTTCAGAATCCACCGAAGAACAACTCTCTCTTTCTTGTGTATAACAAACAAAACCTTTGATGTACTCTCTTTAAACCATGAGTTGAATACTCAATAAAACATCAAAGAAAACTAACAAAATATTCCCAGATATAAACCTTAAGAACCAAAAAGAAGATCTGGAGGAATTAAATAGTTTTGGGAGAAAACCAACTATTTATAGAAAATCCAAAAGTAATCCTAGTTTTGTAAGAAATCCAATTACTTTTGGATATCCTAGTTTTGGAAGAAAATCAACTTCTTAAAGAAATCCTTGTCAAACGGGATTGCCAATAATAAAACCTAACAGACTCAATTACCCATATTTGTTTGATGTTAGGCACGATCCATTTTAGTCTTGTACATAGATTTGCTTATATGTATCATTATCACACGTGCTTGATGTTGCTAAAGTAATAAATCATGTTTGGGAGTTGAGAAGTTGATTTTGGTATTGGTGGCATTGAATAGGAGAGTTGAAACCAAACTTTATGGGCAGAATGATCAATAGCCAAGTTGGGGCGATCGATCGTCATACCTAATTTGTTTCAATTGAGTACCTTTAAATTGTGAAATTCTTGCATATTGTAAAGATTGATTATTGGCCATTAGTAGAGAATGACATTGTTGTAGAAATCATCATCATTGGATGAATTGAAACTCATGTGATGTGTATTGAATTGTTGAATTCATGGGATGCAAATTCATTGATGAACGGAAGTGTTGTTGAACATATTTTAGATAAAAATGAGAATTGCTTGTGTTGTTGTATTGAGGTTATAAAATCATTATTTTAAATTGAATGGTCATAGTGAATCCATATAATATATAGAGGAATGAGATTAAGTTGGCGAGAGAGTCCACAATGAAAGACTGAAAATCCGCATAGAATAGGTACCCATTTGTCCTTCCAGTTCGCAACCAGTAAAGTGTGGTGTTTAGATAGTGTTCAGTGATGGCCACTAACAAATGAATATACCTTGAGAGGATTTTATCAGAATGCAATGAAATGAACTGAGAATTGAGGTTTCTTACTAAACACTTTGAGTATTTATGGAATTTGGAACGTAAACATTGTTATTGATAGAAAATGAATTTGAGCATCCTATTTGTTGACAATTATCCATATCAAGATTACCCCATATCAAGATTATCTCATATCTTGAAATATAATTTTTATTTTATTTGGATCTCTCCTAATCAGGTCATGCCACCATGGGCGACCCAATTGGGTCCAAGTTCTAGCCCCGACCCAATTTCCAACATCTCCCAGTCGAACATGTGATGGCATGACATTGCGCCTTTTGTATCTCAATCCACCCAATAAATGTAATCAAGGTATGATTACATTTATAAATGTAATCCCACTCGAGCATGTGATGGCATGACACCACGCCTTTTGTATCTCAATCCACCCAATAAATGTAAACATGTTCTTTTGAGGGATGAAAGATGTTTTTTGGACCGGTGTAATTTGATGGGTATATGAGACACTATTTTTATTTTCGAGTTGATGTCTCTATGTTGACTCTTTTTGAGTTTCTAGTCTAGAGCCCCTACATGCAGGTGTTCTTAGTAGTTGCACGGTCCATTGGTTAGTATGATTGCGTTTATTGGGTAGATTGAGATACAAAAGGCGCGGTGTCATGCCAGCTCATGTTCGAGTGGGTGATGTTGGAAATTGGGTTGGGATTAGAACTTGGACCCAATTAGGTCGCCCATGGTGGCATGACCCAATTAGAAGAGATCTAAATAAAATAATAGATTATATTTCATGATATGAGATAATCTTGATATGAGATAATTTGGGTATGGATAATTGTCAATATATTAGATGATAATTATTAATTAAATATTATTGATATGTGATAGATATTATCTAGGATAATATGTCGATATGTGATAGATATTATCTAGGATAATATGTCTATCCTATGGGTCTCCTAACTCTCCTATATAAACAAACCTTGAGTTCTGTATTTCATACAATAACAAAAATGATACGTTCTCTCTTTCCATAAATCATTTCTCCTTTGTACTGTAAATAGTATGGGTAGTTCTCTAGTAGTTGTACTCCACTACTGGGAATTACTCAAAGAAATCAATAGAGGCACATGGTTCACCCACATGATCTATGAATTCGATTTGAGTGTAAAAAGTATGCCTGAATCTGTTTATTTCCGCTAATTATTATTTCTTGTTGTTCTTACACTATTTAGGCGTAGTATCATTGTCAAATGCTTTTGTGGATACATATTAGTAGATATAAAGAATTTTCTACTGGATTATATATGTGCATGAGCTAGAGATAGCTCTATTAATTGTTGGCCTATATGGCCTTTATATTTTCTAGGCTGAGTGCCTATATTTTTGCTAAGGGTTACACATTTTTTTATATAAGCCTAAAGACATCTCTTTTGTAAAAATATTGATATTTTTTATTTATTGTATATTCATGCCATATAGAATATAGGATGTATGTAATAAATATGTTTCATGAATTACACACACAAAGAATGATATTTTATTTTCAGTATCTACTGTCTTTCCTTTATTGTGCAGGAATATTTTTTTTAGTTTAGATCTGGAGAATCCAAGGGGTGACAATATTTATCCACATGTCACTTATCTGTCCATGTAATCTATCTATCTGCCCATATCACCACCACCACTAGTCGCCACCTCCGGTGACATTTTCGACCATTGTTCTGGCAAATTTTCCAGCGTTGCAGGTGGTCTGGTAGTCATCTAGTATCTGGGTGATAAATTAGAAAACAAATTTCATCAAAACGATAATTTGTTCGTCTCACCAAACAATTTCATTAATCACGTCCTTATTTTCATAAAAAAGTGAATCGCAAATTGCATTTGTTAACTACACATCATTTAATCACTATTTCTCTCACACTCATTTATTCAGTTACAAAAAAAAAAAAAAAAAAAAAACTACAAATCATCCCAAACTATAAAACTCCAATTACAAAACTACAAAACTATTTTCAAAACATACAACCAAACAAATCGCAGGTTAATGAAATTGCTTGGTGACTTTTTCATGGAAATAAGGACATAATTAATGAAATTGTTTGGAAGCACCCAAAACATTCATCAATTTCATTAATCGCAAGTTAAAAATAATTTTAAAATCACAGACACAAATGCAAACTGATCAAGTGGTTATTGATATTCGATTAATGTGATTTTATGTAAAAATAATATACTTAACGAATTATACCCATTGAATGATTTGAATTATCGATATGAATCTGGAGTTAGAACCACAGTGGCCCAACAATATTTTTAGACTGGAAAAGAGCTTAGACCCATTCTAAAAATTGTTCTTGAGCTGAGGCTGAGTCAGCAACGTGTTAATATCAGGTGTCCCTTTTTCGTCAAAACACAGATGGAAGGTAACAATTGGATTCCATTTAAAATTAAAAAAAAAATAAAAAAAATATTATTAGTTCATACTCTAAATTAAAATATGTATATTGAAAAAAATAAAGTAAACAACATGGCCATACATGATAGTTTATCCTAAAATTATGTACGAAAACAAATTCAACATATACAATAATTTGTCAATGTTTTTATATGGCTAAAATATAATTATTTGTCATTATCACCAAGAAACTAGAATACATTATAATTTATTTGTCATCACATCAGCAAGAAATGAAGAAAGAAAGTCCAAAGAAAATAAAGAGAAGTGGGCAAAACAAACACTCCTTCCTTCCTGTCTCTTTAAGTTTGAGACATCGAAATAAACAAAAATAAATATATATTTTTTGTAAAATAGATATGATAACATATCTTTTTATTGGTACGATTCATAAATTAATTACAAAGAATGACTTAAGTGTTATGTGATTTAAAACCTAAAGAGAAGTTGTAATAATTATATTAAAAATGTGAGACTATCTGTATTTTCTATAAAGTTTAGAGGAGGTAAGCCTAATATACCCAAATTTGATGTTTTTTATTTATTTATTTGAGGAGAGGAAAACATCCCTATTAATTTTCTATAAGGCTTACAAAGAAACAGAGTCAATAGACCCTAAACGGCCTCAGACCCAAATTTCTTGTTTTAAACATCCCTATTAATTGCTTCCCAATTGAACACAAACATGGCTTCAAAAATGGCACACTTGCTTTGCTTGCTTTTGATTTTCATGCTTTCTCTTTTGATAATTGCTTGTTCATCTAAGCTTGTACTCGGTCACTCTGTGGTTGAGTCTCTCCCAGGATTTGAAGGACCCCTTCCCTTTGAACTTGAAACCGGGTGGGTGGGTCAAGTCAGCATAATTGATTCATTGACTCATCATCATCTTCTTCTTCTTCGTCTCTCTTTGTGCATGAATATATAGTACATTGATGTTATGTATGTATTGTGCATACATGTGCCTGTAATCAGGTATGTGGGTGTGGATGAGTCAGAGGATGTACAACTTTTTTACTACTTTGTTAAGTCTGAGTCCAACCCCAAAGAGGACCCTCTGCTTCTTTGGTTGACAGGAGGCCCAGGCTGCTCTGCCTTCTCTGCTTTCATTAATGAAATAGGTAATTCTTTCTTCTCCATGCTCATTTTCTCTCTCATGAAATTCTTCTATTTCCCATTTCAGAACAATGGTGATTGAATTATGCATCGAGATTCTCACGTAATTCACTAAGCCCTTTACATTGGTTGTGAATAAAAAGTTAAGGATCTTCTTTTCTCAAATATCTGTGTATGTCTATCTTATGTCTTACTGAATCATGTGAAAATTTATTTATTTTTTTTTAAATGTAACATAATTAAAGTATTTTAGGACGAAACCATAAAAGAATTTGGAGATATCAATGATTCTTTCTACATTGTTTTTGAAAGTCTTATTGATGGTTTTCCAGAGGGCCAAAGCTATAGTACGTTTGGACCAATCCTATTTTTAAAGGAACAAAAATATCTAATACACATCTCCTTTTACATGAAATTATAAAAGGGGAATTGTGAATGTAATTATTAAGTTTTTTGAAATATTGGAATTCAGAGGAATAAGTTGGCTATCTTATTAAAAAAAGATAATTTTATGTTAAATTTAACCAATTAACCTAAGTGACACTTTCACACTCAATCACATGAGTACGCAAGAGAGTCAAAGTCATACTATATTTTATCGATGGATCGATCTCTCAGTGATCGCTTGCTACTGCACAAAATGCAATTGATGGCCGATTGATTGTTTATCGAATGCTAACCACTGCTCAACGTGAGACCGATCTCTCCAAATTGCGATCGATTGCCCCACTTTAGCAGGGCCAATTTTGCACATGTTCTCAAAACATGTTTTTGTATTTGACTCCAGCTCTTTTTTTTAAATTTAATTTTTTTTTTTTTTGAAAAACCTGTTTAAAAGAGATTTAAAACATGTATGAAATCCTTACTTGAGCAGATAATGGAGCGAAACTTTCAATCTTGATGCGTGAGACTGAGTGAGTGAGTCAAATTACCAAACTACCCTCACACAATAAAATACCCCATTACAATCTGATTTTGATAACAAAAATAATTAATACAATATCTTATTTCTAATTGATTTGAACTGTTGATGTATTGACAATATATAAATGGCTTAACTAATTTGCAGGTCCACTAAATTTCAAGGTCAAGCAGAATGGTGGGAGTTTGCCGACTTTAGACTTGAATCCAAACTCATGGACGAAGGTAGATAGAATACAAGAAGGCTGAGACTATTATTGTCATACCATTTTTATATGCTGTTAAGAGCAACTATCTATAACTATCTGAAGCATTAAAATTTTATATGTTGCCTTGACAGCAACCATAGTTTGTTTAACAATTGGCCTATTTTGTAAGAATTTGTGTAACTACATGCCGTGGTGACTCTAGGAATTTTTGTCAGTGGTGTCCATCAAAAACTTAAATACCATATATATTACAGAAAATTCACATTAATCATTATATCACATATGGAGAAAAAAATCAACAAATTAATTTAAATTCTAAAATTATAAACAAAAATATTTCAATATATTGATACTATTGTTTAAGCAAAAAAACATGCTAATATCTAATATGGGTTCAAAATTGGTGGGTTCAAAAGAGTAGGACTTAAAACTATGGGTTCAAAATTGTATTTTAGTAGGTTCAATTACTAATTTTTTCCCTAAAATCTAATATTTATATAATTAATAAATAAAAAAATTCAGCCAGGGAGTTCGGGTGACACCTCTGATCAAGCCTTGGAGCTGCCCCTGACTACCTGTGCATATATGGATTAGGGATGAGTTTCTCTTCAGTAAACCGAACATCTAGGGATAATAATATCCACCATGTGTCCTACTTTGGTGATATATTCATATTGTGGTTTTATCACCCCCACAAAAATAAATAAATAAATAAATAAATAAATCTAACTGATTGATTGATTACAACCATATAATATTTATCTTTAAAAAATGATTTGTTTACTTTTCCAACTATTTATTATTCTTCGAAAATTACAAATATATCTTTTGAGATTTATTTAAAATACAAATCGTCCCGTGGTTATGAAAATTACAAATACCCCATTGCCAAAAAAAATTATTGAACAAAATTAACAAAAAATTGAAATTCCTAACTGCTCTGCTATAAAATAATAAAATTACTTGAATTGTCAATTGAAATATATTTCTAACTTCATTAAAAATTGTCATGTGACATGAAGATTTATTAATAAAATAGATTATTTGTTATATAATTAGAAACTTGATAGGGTGGAATGTAATTTCCACAACCATAATATTTTTAAGAAAACCTCAACAGGTATATTTATAATTTGCCCTATTATTTATTTTTGAAGTCAAAATAATATGGCTACAAATTTATTATTATTATTATTTTATAAATAATCTACGCACACGGTCTGACATGAAAATTTGTTTAGATCACTAAGTTATTGTTATTATTATTTTACCTACCCTCTCACAAAAAAATGGACTGCATATCCAATTGACTGGAGAAAAGCCAATCTCCTCCAGCGATTATGTGCATAAGCACATATGATAAAATTTAATCACGGTGATGTTAAATATCAAGTGGCGAGCATACTCTTTGTAGATTTGCCTGTTGGTGCTGGATTCTCCTATGGAACTACCTCTCTTGCTTCTAAATCTACCGATTTGCAATCTTGTGACCAAGCCTATGAATTTCTCAAGAAGGTAATTTGTTAACTCTCCAACAAAAGCAACAAGATACAATGCTTAACAGTAGCTTTTGGTAGTAAATGGAGATTTGTTCATGGCATTAGACAGTTGTAAACAATTTCATAAAATTATTATTATTTTTTTTTTCTTTTGGGCTATCAATAGTAGACTTTGTTTATTTTTGTAACCATTTATCAATTATTTAAAAAAAAAAACATTTTGCAGTGGTTGATTGATCATTCAGAGTTCTTCTCAAACCCTATTTATGTTGGTGGAGACTCGTACACTGGTATTACGATTCCAATAATCGTTCAACTAATATCAAATGGTAAGAAATTAACGGACAAGTCAATGAAAATTTAGGAAAATTAGGCTTTTATCTTGGTCCAATTTTAAAATTTGTCTCTAGCATCCTTCGTGTTGTTAGTTTGAGTTATACAATTAATCTCTTTAAAACTAAAGTAAAATTGCATATATCATGTCCTCTTTAGAAAATACTCTACTAGATAGAAGTCTCTTGCTTTAACAGGAGTCCAATATATTTATCCCATTTCTACACATATTACCTTACTGTGCCAAATTGGTCCCCTTCCCAATTGGTTGTTGGTCTTGTTATTAACTCTTTAAAATTAGGGGAAAAAACAAGAAAGAAAAAAAATCACTCGTGGACTAATAAAAAATGAAATAAACTTTTTTAATCAGTGATAAATTGAGTATTTACTTTTTTCTTTTTTGTTTTGTTTTGTTTTGTTTTGTTTTTTTTTTTTTCTTTTTTTGGGTTGTTGTTGTGGTTATCTAACTGTTTCCACAAAAATGGGTGTAAATGAGCAATGGAAGCCGCAGGAGCCTGGGAGCGGCGTGCCAAGTATAGTCCGATCTGTTGAATATTTCTAATTTCTTCTCAAGAGAATATGTGAGGTCCAGGGATAAAAATCCTCTTGGTTTATTTGTTCCGTCAATGAAAAGGACTTAGAATCTCCTAAGTGCTTGAAGTAAGGAAGAGAACACAACAAGAATTTTATCATATCCAAACAAATTAAAGTACAATATTTGGGACAAACTAAGCTAACTTTTGAAATAGAAATGAAAAATACTGTAAGCTAATGAAGTTACTGGTAATCTAATGTTAAAACGTTACAAAGTCTTGAGAGATAACTGCCAAGTATTTTTTGAATTGATTGCATGATTGGTTGGGGGTTTTCCCATCTTGAAATGACCTTTATATGCTTGACCTTCTAGCCGTTTTGAACTAGCTCCTAATATATCCCTCAACTACTTTAACAAAGGTTGGTGGCCCGAAAATATGTGGTTCAAATGGCTCGAAACGCCTAAAACGACGTCGTTTTGGGTGTAAAACGACGTCGTTTTGCCATTTTCGAGCCATTCGAGCCACATATTTTCGGGCCACCAAACATTTTTCCAACTACTTTTGGTTAGTGGTTTTCTAGAACACCTCCTAGAGTGCCAAGTGTCCCTCAACAACCATGTTGCCCAAATATCTCTAATGTATCCCTCAAGAAATGTTGGTGATTGCCCCATTTTGGCCTAGTCATTGGATCAAGTAGTAGTGGGTCTTGAATTTAAATGGATGGTTGCTAAGGGTGCTCGCGGATCAGATTGGGTTGGGTGCCTCCTATTCGCCATTCGTCTGAACTTAGGTGGATTAGAAAAAATCAATATGCATTCGTTTGCATAGTTAGCAAATGCGGATTGAACAATTCGTGTGGATTGACAGGTGGATGTGAATCCATTTAGTGGTTTGGGTTTTGCAGTTATATATATATTTGAACTATTTTATAGTAATTTTTTTACTATGTTGAGCTTTATTTGAGTCCAAAATTTTTTATTCTTCATTTTTTATAATTGAAATAATGACCAAACTTTCATATTTCATAAGTAGCTAATATTATTACTAAATAAAATGTCATTTTTTTAACATGCAAATTATATAAACATAACATCATTTTCTTAAAGGAGGTTGGCGGATCAAGTTGGGTTCGATGGCCTCTCGTCCGCCATCTATCCAAACATAGGTGGATTAGAAAAATCTCCATCAAAATCCACCTGCCCATACTATTGAGACCACTTAAAAACCAATGAATTGGGTCGGATCGGGCTAGTTTGATGGATCGGCCTAGTCTGTGAATACCCATAATGGGTGCCACATGTCCATATCTCAAGATGATAACTCCATGGTGGTTAATAGGAATGGTTAATAAACGTCTCCTTGAAAATAGGTACATGATTTTCTAGCGATAATGAGTTAATATCTCAGCATATTAATGGGAAACCACCATTACTTAAGAATACTTGATAAAATTACCAAGCACCTTCACTCTCACGGGTCACCTGCGCAGTGTATCACCCCTTGATCTGGATGTTACTCCCGGAAAAACACCTTGGAGATAACTTTATAAAACCTTACAAATCTATTAGTTCATTAAAATTACCACGCACATCCATTTATTTGAATAATCAACACCATGCGGTATCATTTGATAGGGAGGTCATTTTCGGTACAAGCATTTACATATATATATATTTTTTCATTTTCCTTATATATGAAGTATTCATGTTAAATACTTGACATATGAATACGTGGATAAGGAAACGAGATATGCATTTGATCATCCAAATTGTTCATATTGTAAGGTTTGTTGAACATATCATCCATGTAAAAATTTAGGTTAATCAGATATCTATAACCCTATGATCGAGTTCTAATTATTTTTAAAAACATTATCAAAATCATGCTAACCATTTATTTTTTTCCCAACAAAAATGTGATCCTGTTAAGGGACTACAAATATCCGACTAATCTGATTCTTTTCATAAATAATCTACTTCACGGACCTTACAATATAAATGATTTGGACTATCCAAATAAGCTTAGGAAAAGTCACCACAGATGTAACAACGGCTACTGATATGGTTTACTTACAACAGTAACCCCGGTTTCCATTGTTTTACTTTGAAACATTAAAGAAGTAAATTAACAGATATGATCTTTTTTGTCATGTCCCCTTGTCCTTGGATGTGTGATCAAATGAATTGCACACATAAATACATATCCACACTAAACACCTATAGTTAACATAAATATATGTTGAATTTGTTAAAAATAAATAAATAAATAGCAAGCATTTCAAAGTGGAAAATAGGACTTGGTAGCAATTTGAAGAAGGGATGGATGAATCAAGTGCAACATTCTCCTAAAATCATTTGGCCGGAAGGACAATATTACCGTAAAAGAAGTGAAGGAAAACTCTATTTGCTCATGTTTCAAGTGTATTAACTATGTTGCAATTTAGGAAACGAAGCTGGCACTGAACCACTTATCAATCTCAAGGTTTGTCTCTTTATAGTGTAAATTACACCATTAGTCCTTGTAATTTAAGTGAAGTGTCATTTTAGTCCCTGTAGTTTCAATTTGATCAATTTAATCCTTACACTTTTAATTTTGTTACAATGTGATCTCTCTATTACATACCATTAGAATTTGTATCTAAAAAAGACCGTGTGTAAAACTGTTTATACCAAAAATGACTGTGAAGACCCAAATATAAAAATTTAGTAAATAATTAAATAATAACAACCATAATATTACAATCTCAAATATTTTGATGGTGAATCCTAAAGTGCAAATTATATATTTGGGGGATCTTTAATTAATTTTTAAAGTATAAATAAATTTTTATGGAAGTTCACAATTTTTTAAGACTTTTGATAATAATCTTAATGATAGTAATAATAATAATAATAATAAACTAGTTAGTAAGGGGTCATTTTGGAAATTTATATTAGGTGGATAAAACCCTAATGGTGAGATATCAATTCTTTTTTCTAATCAACACAACAGCAGCCACTTTAGGCTTAACAGCCGTGAGTCATTGAGGGAGAGAGAGACAAAGAAGCTTGTGGCAATCAAGGAGGGAGAGGAATTCTATGTAACCAATACTTTGTGGGTAATTTAATTGTTTATTCTCACTTCTATTATTATTTTTTGATCTTCTATAGTTGAGTTCGTGAAATGCATGGTTGATCATTCAGGTATATATTAATTTATGGGCTGGTGTGAAGGGAAGTTTAGTATATCAAACTTGGGTTATAAGTCATTTTTAGTTAAGTTTCGATCGGAATCTATGTCTTGGGTGATTTTAGACCTTGAAGAATATGAAC